TTCGTAAGTCATCTTAATATTTAGTATTTTATTAGAATAATTCGAACATTGTTATGTTTGTCAAAAATAATTTATAAAATCATAGATATGTACTAAATTTAATACATTCACTCTGTTTCAAGATAGCTAATTCGAATCGAAATAATATGGCAAAACCTTATCTTATTAATGAGACATCAATGGTAAAATCAAATCGTATTGGATGTATTATTACATCCAATTGTAAGAAAAGAATTGTGTCACAGATTAATAAAACGAAGAAATAAATAAGATAATCGAAATGTCTGGCAAACGAATCCGCCGCCGATTCACAGACTTTCTTTATGGTCCACGTAATGAGGTGGCATCTTGATTACGCACTTTATTACGAGCGTTTATGACCCTACGTAAAGAAAAGAAAGATGAGGGTTCCAAGATAGCCGTAGATAGGACGTGGAGGACCGGGTTGTCGTTATCGGGTTCAAAAGCGGTGTCTCTTTAGATCTAATTCGTAAAATAGGTGAGGTGGGCTGGATTCTTTTATGGATTCTTAAGATAAGAGAAAAAAAGAATGTTAATAATTGTGAAAACGCCCAAGGAATATATAATGCGTTTCGGGAATTATGTCGTCCGAATTGAAATTAATTAGGGTCGACGGGGAAATTTGTCGCGTAAAATATGTAAAAACATGCCGGAATGAAACACCGGTAGCCGAAACGTGTCCGAAGAATATTGCGGACGGACCTACATTCAACGTTCCACCGGGTCCCTACGAAACCGAATTTAATGGAAATTAAATACGTGGTCGACCCATATTTCTTCTTGATAATTTATCGACGGGCAGATTTTAATTCGACCGTTTTAACGGGGTTGTAATAAATTATACGGACCGACTCGTTCGACAAACTACTTGAAAACGGTTTCACAGGGATGGATTCAACAACATTTTTATGAACAATAAAAATTTTAATACAACCACCAATTATAACAATTTTCATGATTTATGGACGACCGAAATAGATCGAATAATTCATTAGGTTAGGTTATTTAAGTAATTATGTAAATCGTCGACCGTTTACATTGCACAGGTGTAATTTGGGTTAATAAACCTGTTGATAGGCGAGGTGGAGGTGCTCCGTTTTGGAATATTACGTCAATTTCCGGTTTTGAATTCTCGTAGATTCTCTGACAGTCAATTAATGAAGGAAATAAACCAACCTAAGTCGAATACATAAATTATTAACATGCAACTGGAGATCATTAAGGTTTTCTTATTTCTTATCTTTAAGCTACCGTCCAAAGTTAGCCCCAATTACAGGTCCACTAATATATTGATAAATAATAACTTATTCGAAAGCTTAATCCTTGGTCAATACGAAACTGGAAATGCCCAAAATATTGCGAAGGTAAGCGGAAATAACACAAAAATGATCTTTTTAGGTGGTTAAAATTCGTAAATGCTGTAGTTAATTATTAAGATGTATCGTCTGTATCATCTCTATTCTTTCCTATTAACCTTGTACAACTATCAACAATATGTAAAACCACAATTTCATCGAAATCTCACCTTATCGCACTTTTCTCAATATTTATGCATCTGAAAGCAAAAGTGTAAAAGAGCAATATTGTTAACAATAAAGTTTGCTACAACTTTTGTACTAAACTTTTTTTTCTAAAACGTTCTGAATCCTGCGCTCTCCATCAGAATGATGTAAATCCACGATTTCATCTGATTTTCACCTTTTAGAACTTTTCTCAATATTTATGCATCTGAGAGCAAAAATGTAAAAGAGTAATATTGTTAAAAATAAAGTTTGCTACAACTTTTGTACTAAACTTTTTTTTCTAAAACGTTCTGAATCCCGAGCTCTCCATCAATATGATGTAAATCCACGATTTTATCTGATTTTCGCGTTTTCGAACTTTTCTCAATATTTATGCATCTGAGAGCAAAAGTGTAAAATAGCAATATTGTTAGAAATAAAGTTTGCTATAACTTTTGTACTAAACTTTTTTTTATAAACGTTCTGAATCCCGAGCTCTCCATCACAATAATGTAAATACACGATTTTATCTCATTTTCACCGATTCGAACTTTTCTCAATACTTATGCATCTGAGAGCAAAAGTGTAAAATAGCAATATTGTTAGAAATAAAGTTTCCTATAACTTTTGTACTAAACTTTTTTTTATAAACGTTCTGAATCCCGAGCTCTCCATCACAATAATGTAAATACACGATTTTATCTCATTTTCACCGATTCGAACTTTTCTCAATACTTATGCATCTGAGAGCAAAAGTGTAAAATAGCAATATTGTTAGAAATAAAGTTTCCTATAACTTTTGTACTAAACTTTTTTTTATAAACGTTCTGAATCCCGAGCTCTCCATCACAATAATGTAAATACACGATTTTATCTCATTTTCACCGATTCGAACTTTTCTCAATACTTATGCATCTGAGAGCAAAAGTGTAAAATAGCAATATTGTTAGAAATAAAGTTGCTACAACTTTTGTACTAAACTTTTTTTTCTAAAACGTTCTGAATCCCAAGCTCTCCATCAGAATGATATAAATCCACTATTTCATCTGATTTTCACCTATTCGAACTTTTCTCAATATTTATGCATCTGAGAGCAAAAGTGTAAAAGAGCAATATTGTTAAAAATAAAGTTTGCTACAACTTTTATACTAAACTTTTTTTTCTAAAACGTTCCGAATTTCGAGCTCTCCACCAGAATGAGGTAAATCTACGATTTCATCTGATTTTCACCTTTTCGAACTTTTCTCAATATTTATGCATCTGAGAGCAAAAGTGTAAAAGAGCAATATTGTTAAAAATAAAGTTTGCTACAACTTTTGTACTAAACTTTTTTTTCTAAAACGTTCTGAATCCCGAGCTCTCCATCAGAATGATGTAAATCCACGATTTCATCTGATTTTCACCTTTTCGAACTTTTCTCAATATTTATGCATCTGAGAGCAAAAGTGTAAAAGAGCAATGTTGTTAAAAATAAAGTTTGCTACAACTTTTGTACTAAACTTTTTTTTCTAAAACATTCTGAATCCCGAGCTCTCCATCAAAATGATGTAAATCCACGATTTCATCTGCTTTTCACCTTTTCGAACTTTTCTCAATATTTATACATCTGAGAGCAAAAGTGTAAAAGAGCAATATTGTTAATAATAAAGTTTGCTACAACTTTTGTTGTAAACTTTTTTTTCTAAAACGTTCTGAATCCTGAGCTTTTCATCAGAAGGATGTAAATCGACGATTTCATCTGATTTTCACCTTTTCGAACTTTTCTCAATATTTATGTATCTGAGAGCAAAAGTGTAAAAGAGCAATATTGTTAAAAATAACGTTTGCTACAACTTTTGTACTAAACTTTTGTTTCCAAAACGTTCTGAATCTCGAGCTCTCCATCAGAATGATGTAAATCCACGATTTCATCTGATTATCACCTTTTCGAACTTTTCTCAATATTTATGCAACTGAGAGCAAAAGTGTAAAAGAGCAATATTGTTAAAAATAAAGTTTGCTACAACTTTTGTACTAAACTTTTTTTTCTAAAACGTTCTGAATCCCGAGCTCTCCATCACAATGATGTAAATCCACGATTTCATCTGATTTTCACCTTTTCGAATTTTTCTCAATATTTATACATCTGAAAGCAAAAGTGTAAAAGAGCGATATTGTTAAAAATAAAGTTTGCAACAACTTTTGTACTAAACTTTTTTTTCTAAAACGTTTTGAATCCCGAGCTCTTCATCAAAATGATGTAAATACACGATTTCATCTGATTTTCACCTTTTCGAACTTTTCTCAATATTTATGCATCTGAAAGCAAAAGTGTAAAAGAGCAATATTGTTAAAAATAAAGTTTGCTACAACTTTTGTACTAAACTTTTTTTACTAAAACATTCTGAATCCCGAGCTTTCCATCAGAATGATATAAATCCACGATTTCATCTGATTTTGACCTTTTCGAACTTTTCTCAATATTTATGCATCTAAGAGCGAAAGTGTAAAAGAGCAATATTGTTAAAAATAAAGTTTCCTACAACTTTTGTACTAAACTTTTTTTTCTAAAACATTCTAAATCTCGAGCTCTCCATCAGAATGATGTAAATCCACGATTTCATCTAATTTTTCCCTCCTCGAATTTTTCTCGATATTTATGCATCTGAGAGCAAAAGTGTAAAAGAACAATATTGTTAAAAATAAAGTTTGCTACAACTTTTGTACTAAACCTTTTTTTCTAAAACACTCTGAATACCGAGTTCTCCACCAAAATGATGTAAATTCACGATTTCATCTGCTTTTCATCTTTTCGAACTTTTCTCAATATTTATACATCTGAGAGCAAAAGTGTAAAAAAGCAATATTGTTAAAAATAAAGTTTGTTACAACTTTTATATTAAACTTTTTTTTCTAAAACAATTTGAATCCGAGCTCTCCATCAGAATGATGTAAATCCACGATTTCATCTGATTTTCACCTTTTCCAACTTTTCTCAATATTTATGCATCTGAGAGCAAAAGTGTAAAAGAGCAATATTGTTAAGCATAAAGTTTGCTACAACTTTTGTACTAAACTTTTTTTTCTAAAACGTTTTGAATCCCGAGCTCTCCATCAGAATGATGTAAATCCGCGATTTCATCTGATTTTCACCTTTTCGAACTTTTCTCAATATTTATACATCTGAGAGCAAAAGTGTAAAAGAGCAATATTGTTAAAAATAAAGTTTGCTACAACTTTTGTACTAAACTTTTTTTTCTAAACGTTCTGAATCCCGAGCTTTCCATCAAAATGATGTAAATCCACGATTTCATCTGATTTTCACCTTTTCAAATTTTCCTCAATATTTATGCATCTGAGAGCAAAAGTGTAAAAGAGCAATATTGTTAAAAATAAAGTTTGCTACAACTTTTATGCTAAATATTTTCTTCTAAAACGTTCCTGTACTCTAACAACCTTTCGATTTTGTTTTTTTTTTTCGAAACGGTTTAAATGAAATAAATAAACCAATCCTTTATTAGTTTTAATCAAAAACTTTAACAGCTGCTCATTTTACAATTAGACTTTGTTACACGAGCGCCACCCATAAATTAATTCTGGAGTTAATGAAATTAAGCGAAGAGGGCAATTTACAATTAAGGGTTAAGTTGAAGCGGCGCTGCCAGAAGAGGAACGCTTTAATTGGTGGTTTTATTCGTTCAATTGCGGAATTGGTGAGGATTAATGCACGCGCGCGTTTACATTTTAAATTGTAACGAACACTTTGTGTCATGTCCATTGCGGTCATTGCAGCTTCTTGAAAAGGTCTTTGGCCACGCATTTATCCACCGCCGACAGCAAGTCAAACAGCTCTTCCGTACACGTTTCCGTCGTTTGTTCTCTACACGAAACCCGTTCTGTACACTGATCCAACTTGTCTACCAAGTCTTGGTGGTTTTTACGACATTTCTCCTCAAAAAAGAAAAAAAAACATTAATTTAAAATAAATAACATTAAAAAAGACAAATTTACTCTTAATTTTTGTAATGGATCTACAAGTTCTGGAGCGGGTGGTGGAGGTTGTTCTGTATCTCCCATGATTTATAACACTTTTGACGTGCGATTTAAATGAATTTATTAATGTTTTGCTTGGTAACCTGAACTAACCTACTCGATGAACCTGATATCTCAAAAAGGAAACTTAAAATAATGACATACAAGAATGTAGTTGGTAAAAATTAAAAAAATTTGTGAGTATAATGTATTTTCCTGATAAGGAAATACCAGTTTCGCGGTCAAAAAATCCCTAAAATCCACTAAGAATTCCATTTATTTTAATTGATATCGAGATGAGGTCGATTTCGTCCGTTTCTGGATCTCTGGAGGGTGTCGTTGTGTCTTCCGCGATGAAGGAGTTCGACCACAGGTGGTTGCGGTCGCTCCCACGGTTCCAAAGAACCCTTTAACACCTGCCCTCGGCGACTCAGCTGCCCGTACTCTCTTGTCTTCTTCTTCTTCTTCGTCTTCGTTCTTCTCCGCTTTCGCCTGCTTAATTATTGGTGACCACGCGTTCGCTTCAACGGCCATCGTCTTAATAAGCGGCGGGTATTTTTTTCGGTGCTCGTTCTCCACCCGTGTCAGCCAAAGAAAAACGAAGATCTTTTCTATACCACAGGGCCGGACCCTAACATTATCATTATCTTTCTTAATGTTAGATAGAAAGTTATACCATTGTCTTGATTTTTTTACTCTATTTCTTCCTGTAGTATTCATTTAAGTTAATCTAATTCCCTGTTATTATCTACTATTCAGAGATTTATCAAGAAAGAATTATCGCTGTTAATCTTCTATAGTATCTCAAATAGGATTTTTTAATACTCTCTAAATACAAAATCTAAATTATATGGCAAAACATGAAATTAAAAAAGTCTTATAACCCTTTCAGTAAAACTCTGCTAAGTTAACAGTAATCAAAAAGATAAAAATGATTTAAAACTGATTTAACAACCCTTTGTATCACAAGAAGTCAAAAACCTTGAACTTTGAGACAGAATCAGACAGAATTAAAACGCTATCAATACACACTCAGTAAAGGCCTTTGGAATCAATTTTCGCATAATTTAAGTGTTAAAAAAGATGCTAATTCAAAAATGTCTGGAAGCCGTGTTTATTGAAATTAAGAAATGAAACTTATTTTAAATTGAAGGTTAAAGCTTTCTGTTTAAATCGATGTATAATAATCGTTGGGTTCGATTGGAAAAATATTAAGAAAAAAAATGTTGAAATAAAACATACATTTTCGTATAACCTAAAGGTGTCAAAAAAGATGCTAATTTAAAAATTCCTGGAAGCCGTATTTATTGAAATTAAGGAATGAGACTTATTCTAAATTAAAGCTCAAGGCTTTCTCTTGAAAATGATGTATCATAATTGTTGGGTTGGATTGGAAAAATATTGAGAAAAAAAATGTTGAACTAAAACTTACATTTTCGTATAACTTAAAAACGTCAAAAAAGATGCTACTTTAGAAATTCCTGGAAGCCGTATTTATTGAAATTAAGGAATGAGACTTATTCTAAATTAAAGCTCAAAGCTTTCTGTTTAAAATGATGTGTAATAATTGTTGGGTTAGATTGGAAAAATATTGAGAAAAAAAATGTTGAAATAAAACTTACATTTCGTATAACCTAAAAGTGTCAAAAAAGATGCTAATTTCAAAATTTATGGGAGCCGTATTTATTGAAATTAAGGAATGAGACTTATTCTAAATTAAAGCTCAAAGCTTTCTCTTTAAAATGATGTATAATAATTGTTGGGTTGGATTGGAAAAATATTGAGAAAAAAAATGTTGAAACAAAACTTACATTTTCGTATAACCTAAAAGTGTCAAAAAAGATGCTAATTTAAAAATTCCTGGAAGCCGTATTTATTGAAATTAAGGAATGAGATTTATTCTAAATTAAAGCTCAAAGCTTTCTCTTTAAAATGATGTGTAATAATTGTTGGGTTGGATTGGAAAAATATTGAGAAAAAGAATGTGGAAATAAAACTTACATTGTCGTATAACCTAAAAGTGTCAAAAGAGATGCTAGTTTAAAAATTCCTGGAAGCCGTATATATTGAAATTAAGGAATAAGACTTATTCTAAATTAAAGCTCAAAGCTTTCTCTTTAAAATGATGTATAACAACTTATTGGTTGGATTGGAAAAATATTGAGATAAAAAATGTTGAAATAAAACTTACATTTTCGTATAACCTAAAAGTGTCAAAAAAGATGCTAATTTAAAAATTCCTGGGAGCCGTATTTATTGAAATTAAGGAATGAGACTTATTCTAAATTAAAGCTCAAAGCTTTCTCTTTAAAATAATATATAATAATTGATGGGTTGGATTGGAAAAATATTAAGAAACAAAATTTTGAAACAAACCTTACATTTTCGTATAACCTAAAAACGTCAAAAAAGATGTTACTTTAGAAATTCCTGGAAGCCGTGTTTATTGAAATTAAGGAATGAGACGTATTCTAAATTAAAGCTCAAAGCTTTCTCTTGAAAATGATGTGTAATAATTGTTGGGTTGGATTAGAAAAATATTGAGAAAAAAAATGTTGAAATAAAACTTACATTTTCGTATAACCTAAAAGTGTCAAAAAAGACGCTAATTTAAAAATTCCTGGGAGCCGTATTTATTGAAATTAAGGAATGAGACTTATTCTAAATTAAAGCTCAAAGCTTTCTCTTTAAAATAATATATAATAATTGATGGGTTGGATTGGAAAAATATTAAGAAACAAAATTTTGAAACAAACCTTACATTTTCGTATAACCTAAAAACGTCAAAAAAGATGTTACTTTAGAAATTCCTGGAAGCCGTGTTTATTGAAATTAAGGAATGAGACGTATTCTAAATTAAAGCTCAAAGCTTTCTCTTGAAAATGATGTGTAATAATTGTTGGGTTGGATTAGAAAAATATTGAGAAAAAAAATGTTGAAATAAAACTTACATTTTCGTATAACCTAAAAGTGTCAAAAAAGACGCTAATTTAAAAATTCCTGGGAGCCGTATTTATTGAAATTAAGGAATGAGACTTATTCTAAATTAAAGCTCAAAGCTTTCTCTTTAAAATGATGTATAATAATTGTTGGGTTGGATTGGAAACATATTGAGAAAAAAAATGTTGAAATAAAACTTACATTTTCGTATAACCTAAAAGTGTCAAAAAAGACACTAATTTAAAAATTTCTGGGAGCCGTATTTATTGAAATTAAGGAAGGAAACTTATTCTAAATTAAAGCTCAAAGCTTTCTCTTTAGAATGATATATAATAATTGTTGGGTTGAATTGGAAAAATATTGAGAAAAAAAATGTTGAAATAAAACTTACATTTTCGCATAACTTAAAAGTGTCAAAAAAGACGCTAATTTAAAAATTTCTGGAAGTCGTATTTATTGAAATTAAGGAATGAGACTTATTTTAAATTAAAGCTCAAAGCTTTCTCTTTAAAAGGATGTATAATAATTGATGGGTTGGATTGGAAAACTATTAAGAATAAATACGATTTTAATTAATAAGACCAATTGAGATATCATAATGAAGTAAATCACATTTAAAAGCAAATTTAATGTAGTTTTACTCCACCTTATATGATTTCTTAGATTCTATACATCTCGTTGTTATAATTTTTTTAGTAAAAGTCTGCTAAATTAACAGTAATCGAAATGATGAAAATTGTAAAACTCGTATCTCATAAACTGATTAAGATATCATTATGAAATAAAAATAAAGCAAATTTAATCTAGTTTTAATCTACCCAAAATGAATACTTCATTTCTATAAATCTCGTTGTCATGATCCTTCCAGTACAAATCTGCTAAATAGACGGTAAACAAAAAGATGAGAATTTCAAAAATCGTATCTCAAAGACCAATTGAGATATCATAATGAAGTAAATCACATTTGAAAGCAAATTTAATGTACTTTTACTTTATCTTAAATTATTTCTTACATTCAATAAATCTTGTTGTTAGAACTCTTTCGGTACAAGTCTGCTGAGTTAACAGTAATCAAAAAGATAAAAAAATCAAAAACCGTATCTCATAAACTAATGAAGATATCATTATGAAATAAAAAACATTTAAAAGCAAACTTAATCTAGTTTTATTCCACTTTAAATGATTTCTTAGTTTCCATAATTTCGGATATCAAGATGCATTCAACACAAGTCTGCTAACAATAAGTTAAGGGAAATAAAAAAGATGAAAATTTCAAAAATCGTATCTCTGAAACTAATTGAAATATAAAGCATTTGAAAGACAATTTAGTAGAGTTTTATAACGCCTTTCATAATTGCTTAGCTTTCATAAAAATAAAGAGGGTGATTTTTTTAAATTCAACCCTTTTATCTACTCAATTTTATACGATTATCTTTAAAACATTTTTTACAAAATATTTTTGGCGCTAAAACAATAATTTTTATATTTTCTAAAAGAAAAAGATTTAAGCTTTAATTTGTAGCAAAAATTATTTCTTAGCTTTCATAAATATGACGTGGGTAATTTTTTGAAGATCAACATAAACAATAACAAATAATTGATATCATATTGAAAAGCATTAAAACGATTGTGTGTAGAATAAAAAATAATTATTTTTCTTTCTTCTTATAAAAAGCCGATTATATCTTCTTTTAATCTTATATAAAGATCTAAAGTGAACATTTAAATTGCTGTAACCCGGTATATTTAAAAAAAATGAATTTTATAATTTGCAAAAGCGACACCGTTCTTGGACGCAAAGGACGTCATAAATCATAGAGTAGGGAGACGGTGTATATAATTAATAACAACTTTTATCAATTGCGGCGTATCTCTGGTTGCCAGTTCCCAGCAAATGTCCGGCGACAATTTCATTAATTAAGCCATGCGAAATGACTAATGGCGAAGCATCGCGCCAGCTGATAATACTGTAAACGAGCGACACTGTTGCCGTTCATTTATAATTTACTCACTTGGGAATTAAAAAAAATAAGAACAAAAATAAACACCAACTCGTTTTCATTTTTATATGGAACAAAGAACTAAAGGAAGTGTATTTTGTAACGTTAAGGACGGAAAATCACATTATATGCTATAGGCATAATCGAAAATTTATTTTTTTTTGAG